TTTCGCCAGCCCTGGCGAAAGATCGCCTAGCGAACACTTGCCATGCTTTTAATAGTACGAAATTCCCGATCGCCCGGCGAAATTGAACGCCAGCACTGGCGAAAGGTTTTAAAAGTACGGGCCTAAGTCATGACTATCTTTCCCTCGCCACTCCACCACCCAAAAGCCATGGAATTCCTGGTAAGTAGCGAGGTTCTAGTTTGCCGCCAGCAGAACTAACCTGATGTTTTTGCTGTGGTATCCCTGGAAGCCATATAGACGTATGTACACACTTTAGCTAAGTGTGAAGCCAAACCGCATTATTAAGGAGGACACTACGTTAGGTTACCCGCACGGACACCTGTATGCCCCACACGCCCACACCTACGTCCACACCCACGGCATCGGCAAGAGGGAGGCTGAGGCCGAACCAGAGCCTCACTACGGAGGCTATGGCTATGGCCTTTACCGACCTATGGTTTTGGCCTCTACCGTCCATTTGGCTATGGGCTATGGCTATTACAGACCTTTTTTGGCTATGGATATTATGGGTGAATCATTTTTCAACATGAGATCATATCGAAGAGAAAACTAAAGATGTAAAGATTTCATATAAATTCCATAGATAAATTTCAGTAATAAGTCTTTTAATTATTAATACTGACAGCTGAGATTTCAAGGGAAAAACATAACGAAGGATTTTTATATCAAGTTTATCATCAGCAAGCAAACCGATTAAGGAAAATAACATTATATCAATATAAATATAAACTTTATATGTATCCATGTATGTACCATACATATAATTTAGCGTCTAATTTGTTAGAATATTCACGCATTTCGGAATCTTATACTACAATGCCTATGCTCTGAAGAATAAATGAGGCATTACGACTTCCGTCATGATGATCATCAGTGCTATTACACCTCGCCTGCTTGTCGCTCCAGACAAACGGAGGCGAGGACACAGGTGTTGTGGGCGGAGTCAGATGGTATATAAGTCGTGTCCATCCTTCCTTCGCCACTCCACACCCTGAAGCCTCCGCCATGAAGTTCCTGGTAAGATTTTGTATTGATGTTCATGAAAGTATCATTAGTTATTCTTTAGATATTAAGGCATCTGATACCAAACTGTGCACCGAGGATTCTAAAATTAATAGCGATTACATTAAAGTACTGTACTAATTAGTGTTCTGATCGAGAGTAAAATTTAAATAGTTTAGCGAATGCATCACAAAAAAATAATTTTCTTTTTAAACTTTCTTCACAATGCAAAATTCAAAGTCATATCAGGAGCGTATGTGCTTTTTTCTCCAGGTTCTAGTTCTGTTGGCTGCCGCCGTGGCAGCAGAGCAGAAGAGGGAAGCTGAACCCCATTACGGATATGCTGGACACTACGTCCACCCTTACCGTGCTTATGGCTATGGCTACGTTGTCCCTGGAGGTCATGTGCACGTACACGCTGTAGCTAAACGTGAAGCCGAACCAGAAGCTGAACCACATTACTACGGAGGACACTATGGAGGCTACGGCTACCCCTACGGACACCTCTATGCCCCTCACGCCCACTCCTACGTCCACACCCACGGCATCGGCAAGAGGGAGGCTGAGGCCGAACCAGAGCCTCACTACGGAGGCTATGGCTATGGCCTTTACCGACCCTATGGTTTTGGCCTCTACCGTCCATTTGGCTACGGCCTTTTCCGACCTTTTGGCTATGGATACTATGGATGAATTCTTTGGAACATGAAGCTATATCGAAGAGAAAATAAAGACATGCACTGACTGTCGTCCTAACTTCAACTCCTTGCATAACCGATATTATGATGAGCACTGCTACTAAACATGTGCAGAACCTTTTCTAGGGCATAAGTCATAAAAATATCCCTTAACTATAAAAGGCATTATAATATCTTGAAATAAATATAATTGATTGCATAGAGCATCTCAGTACTGACAGCTGAGATTTCAAGGAAAAGAATATATTTATAACGAATGATTAAAGTTTTTCATAAATTCATTATGGGCAAGCTAAATTATTAATGAAAATAAATAACGTATCAACATAAATATGAATTTGTAAAAGTATGAAACTTATCGCGTAAATTATGGATGGAAATTCTAATGTTTTATATCTGAAATTTTCAAATAGAGCTGATATTTAAGATTGGTAAAAACAATAATTCTAATGATATATATGTGCGTGTGTATGTGTGTTTGGTCTTGGATAATCCTGGGAATTTATAGAATATATGTATATAGATATATATCATAATAATAAGTAGATACACTAAAATAGATATATATAGTAGTTACCATTTTTCTTGGGGATGAAAAAAGAGAATGAGAAATTCACAGCACAATTTAAAATATTTAATATGAAACAGATCAAGAAATCTTTAATATGAAAAGATTGAAATAGAAGGTGAAACATGATTAAATTTAGTGTTCTATATATACTATATATCCTTGTGTGTGCGTGTGTGTGTGTGAATATATACATATATACATGATATTTATA